ATCATGTCACTTTTCAGCTCTAAACCTTCAGAGGTTCACTGATGGTTACAGGATCCAGACTTCCTTGCACGGAAGTCTAGGTCTGCCATGATTTTACCTCCATCTACTCTTTCAGCCTCACCCGGCCCCACCTTTATGCACTCTCTGCCCACACACACTGAACTCATGGCCACTCTGAGAACGTGCCACACAACTCTGATGATTCTTGGCTTATGTGGTTTTTTGGTGCTCGCTGCTCACCTGAATCATCACAGTAGTATATCATAGGTACTCAATATTTGTTAAATCAATAGAAAAAATGACTACAGCAGTGGAAGTGGGGAGCAGTTTAAGGATTAAAACTTGTAGAAATGTTTGGGAGGCTGAGGTGGGTGAATCACTTGAGCTCAGGAGTTCGAGATCAGGCTGGGCAACACAGTGAAATCCCGTCTCTACCAAAAACAAAACAAAAACAAAAAATTAGCACAGTGTGGTGGTGTGTGCCTATAGTACCAGCTACTCGGGAGGCTGCGGTGGGAGGATTGCCCTGGGAAGCAGAGGTTGCAGTGAGCCAAGATCATGCCACTGCACTCCAGCCTGGGGGACAGAGTGCCACCCCATCTTGAAAAACAAAAAAACCACCACCACCACCACCACAACTTGTAGAAATGTAGGCCAGGTGTGGTGGCTCATGCCTATAATCCACGCATTTTGGGAGGCTGAAGCAGGAGGATCTCTTGAGCCCAGGAATTCCAGACCAGCCTGGGCAGTACAGCAAAATCCTATCTCTACAAAAAAAAATAAAAAATAAAAAATTGCCAGGTGTGGGTGTGGCGGTGGGTGCCTGTAGTCCCAGCTACTCAAGAGGCTGAGGTGGAAGGATCGCTTGAGCCCAGGAGTTCAAGGCTGCAGTGAGCTATGATTGCACCACTGCAGTTCAGCCTGGGCAACACAGCAAGACCCCATCTCAAAAAACAAAAAAAACAAAACCAACCAACCAAAAAAACCAAAAAACAAAACAAAACCCTTGTAGAATTGTAGAAATGTAGAGTGAAACTCAGAACATGATACTGGGCTCTGGGGTTATATGCAGAGTTCGCTGAGCAGAATAGGATTGGGTCTGTCTGCTAACAGAATTTACCCATATACTGTAATATCATCAAACAAGGGAATCTCAAATTATTATCAGGAAATTATCAAGAAATAAGGTATGGGTAGATTTAAATACGAATTCATCGTCCGCTTAACTAGTTTTTAAAAAGCAAGAACTATAATACAACGCAAAAAGCTAGTGTTTGGTACGCATATAATTATCTGTGGGTTGTTAATTTCACAAGTATGAATATCTGGCAGTTGCACTGTAGCCCAAATGAGAGGGTACAATGAAATCCCCAGGAGCACTGACAAGGCTCATGAGAGACCCAGGAGCTTTCCAAAGAGAGTCTCCATCTTTTTCATGCACTGCCCACAGCTCTCACCTCTTTTAGCTTGTCTCCCTCTTCAAGCCTCGAGCGCTGACGTTACCACAGTTGCATTAGGTCAGCTTTTCTCTGACTCCCTCCAGCCCCTCACCCCGCCAGCTTCCAGCAAGCCCAATCACCGCCTATAAATCCCGTCGCTGGCATCCGGGGTCTCTTAGGCAACAATGTGTGGGCTCTTGATTGGCCGCGAGATCCAGGAGGGCTGGCTACAAAATTGGGCACGGGGATAAAATTAACAAGTGTGGCGGCCGAGAGCGTGGGAGGGACTGCAATGTCTCAATATAACCCGAGAATGAAGATGCGTCGAATCCTGAAACAAGCAGCGTTGAAAACCTTCATTCAAGACGTAGTGTGTCCCAAATCAGCCCTACCTACCTACGGAGCATGCCCAGTCACATTGTCCTGGTCACTCCGGAGCTGCGAAATGCAGGCTCCACTGTGCCAGGTTTTAAGAGTGGCCAACAGGTAAACAGAGGGTTGGAGGAAGAAGAATTCGAGACTGCTTCAATGAAATAATAGCACCTGCAACAGGAAGTGGAAGGATGGGACCAGGAGGAATTGCCCAACACACAGACACACAAATGCTTAAATGCAAATTTCAATTTATTGGATTATAGAATTCAGGCTGACTGACAGATACACCAGGGAACCAGCAGATGGCATGCCCTAATAAGAATAACTAAATTTGGGAACTCTTAGAATCCCGTCCAATTCATTAAATTTATTGAGCGCCTGTCTTGTAATAAGAAGCGAAATGAGAATACAAGGATAAAAAAGAAATCTAAAAAGGAAGACTGGAAAGTGCAATATACAAATACCTAATGGAAGGCTCCCACGGTTAACAGCTGTTATAGAGTTGTGAACAAGTGCTGGAGGATACCAAAAAGTTCAAAATTCCGAGACAGAGGTCCTTTGGTCAATGTAAATCAGGTCTTATAAGCAGCAGTGAACAACAACAAAAAGCAAAACAAAACAACAGCAAAAAAGACTTTCCTCACTATCTTTGTTTCCCAAAACCAATAAGAAGGCATTCTCCAACTTAAATGTACAAACCCTGTGTTTCTGTTGTGTTTTATAGTTTTTATTTTTATTTTTTAGGGGACGGAGTTTTGCTCTTATTGCCCAGGCTGGAGTGCATTGGTGCGATCTCAGGTCACTGCAACCTCTGCCTCTCAGGTTCAAGCGATTCTCCTGCCTCAGCCTCCTGAGTAGCTGGGATTACAACCATTTGCCACCATGCCCGGCTAATTTTTTTTTGTATTTTTAGGGGAGACAGGGTTTCACCATGTTGGCCAGGCTGGTTTCAAACTCCTGACCTCAGGTGATCTGCCCATCTCGGCCTCCCAAAGTGCTGGGATTACAGGAGTGAGCCACTGTGCCTGACCTGTTTTATAGTTTTTAAATAGGCAGCATTTGTGTATCTCCAGTTTGAAAAGAAAAAGTGAAGCTCATAGAAGTTGTTGCTTTCCTTAGATTAAAATGGATCAGTAAGTGGCCAAACTGAAATTAGAACCTACGTTGTTTGAATTCCAGCCTAGGGATTTTTTCCACATGACCAGGTTGTACCTAAATGAATAAACAAAGCCTTGGGGAAAGGGGTGGTGAGGGGGTGGCCTGGGGGAGGTACTTAGATGCAATACTAAATTACCATGTATTACCAGTTAGCTTTTATGGTTTCAAAACGGGTTCATCCAGAAAGAGACCAGTTTTAACAATGTCGGGAGTGCTGTGTCTCTCTATGAAGTTCCCGCTCATTAAAGACTTCGTATTTGTGGTTACAACATGGAATGAAAGAGAGATGGGATCATAGAGAGCATCTCCTTTAGCCCTGTTGGATTTGAATATTTTCATTCCTGAAAAGAAGATCTCTTTCTTCTTGCCTCTCAACCAACACCTTCTGGGCCTCTTGTTGTCCTGCACCTCATCATCAGACTACTGTCCTCCCAAAAGAACCTGAGCCACACCGTCCACACTGTCTGTGTTCACAGTGAGTTCTCAATGTCTGACACTGCAACATTACTTTTTATTTATTTATTTATTTTTAAGAGACAGGGATGACTTTGTTGCCCAGGCCGCAGTGTAGTGGCACAACCATAGCTCACTACAGCTTTGAACTACTGGGCTCAAGCAATCCTCCCAGGCTAATTTTTTAATTTTTATTTTTGTAAAGACAGGATCTTGCTATGTTCCCCAGGCTGGTCTCCAACTCCGGGCTCAAGCGATCCTCTCTCCTCGGCTTCCCAAAATGCTGGGATTATAGGCCTGAACCACCTCACTCAGCCCCAAATATTAATTACTTTTAAGGGGGACATTTCGAACATAAAGAAAAGTTTGGACACTTTCATAAGAAACACCCTTGATTCTCCACGGAGATTTAAAAAAAATGTTACATTTGTGTGTATTTCACAGATACAGGAGAAGCTTCTTTTGTCTCATTCCCAGGTCTCATTCCCTTCCCTGCCTGCCTAGAGGCAGTCATTGTCACGAAATTGGTGTGCAGCCTTTCTGTCCATTTTTATGCTTTTATTATATGTATGTTTGCCCTCATAGACATTGTATAGTATTGCTAGTTTGTTTTTTTTTCTAAAGAGGCATAATCACTTATATATCTTGTGACCCCCCCACCCCACTCAATGTTCTTTTTCTGAGATTTAGTCATGCTGATACAGTGGTGATCATTTCTACGTCATTCCCACCTCCCGATGTTGAGCTATGATGTGTCCCATTCCTGACAGTCTTTACAGGATGGTGGCTAAATTGAATAAAAATGCACCTCGCACAGCATCTCCGGAGGTTCCCCAGCTACAAGGGATCTGATACACACAGATTTCCCCCACACTATCTGCCCCCTCACTCACTCTCCACAGAGGCACCGCTGGCTCCAGAGGATACACTGCCCTGCCTAGAATCAACCTAAGAATCAATATTATTTTAAACATTGTTTACTGCATAAGTATTTACTTATTAGAGAAACTGAAACTGTCATTTCAGATCTCATTTATCATGCCTGTTCACACAGCTCACCTTCTGATGTGAAACACTAGGTCTAAGTTCAATACTCTTAAACATTTACTTAACACGTATTAAGCGCCTTTCTAAAAATAATTGTAAAACACACACAACGTAAACGCACCATTGTAACCATATTTAAGTGTACAATTCTAATAGTGCTAAGTCCATTCACATTGTTCAATTTCTTTAAGTTCTATGTGCTACCGAATGAACAAAATGATGCCCATGCAATCTAGGTTCACGAGGAACAAAAAAAGAAGAGAAAGAAAGGGTTAAACGGTGCAGTGAAAAGAAAAACAGCCCTTTTCTTTTCATCCCAACAACAGGTTGGGATGAATCCAGGCCCTGTTGTTAAAACGCTGCATGGCTTTAGGTAAATCACCTAATCTTTTGGGGCGATCTTTTCCTCGTCTGAAAAATGAGAGGTTCAATTTAGACGATCTTTAAGAATTCTTTCAGCTTTAAAGCCAATTATGTAGAAAAGGAGAGGAGAAACATTTCCTAAGGAGCAAAAATTGGGGCGCGCACCAGTAACGACCAGCTCCACCTGTTTCCAAAGGTCTTGGCCAAGAGGCTATGAACTATCCCGGGCGAGTAGCCTGTCTGCCATGCTGTTTCGCGTGGAGCTCTGTAGCAGGCCAGAGCTCCTGCACCCCATTCCACCCTCAGCATCCGGGCATCTGCCTCTTGAGCACCCCAAATCCCCAGGTCCGGAGGTCGGCACCTCTGGTTCTCAGACCAGGTGTAGGTGGTCCTGCAATCACACCTCCGCGCTCCCGTGTTATCAGGGGAGGGAGTGCATTGCCAGGAGGCCCCCGAGTGCATCTCAGATTAGCGCCTCAGGGGCTGGGAACCAGCACGCCGGAGCAGGGCAGCTCCAGACGTCAATCAGGGCGAGAGGCAGAGAACAACGAGACACGCCGGGCCAGCCCGGTATGCCCAGGCTCCGGCAGGGAGCTTTCGGCCGAGCGTGCTCAGTGCGCCTGCCCCGTGCGTGCGCGCGCGCTCGTGCGCTCGCTCCCCGGGCCGCGCGCCCTGGCGCTCGCGAAAGCTGGCTGTCGCTGGGAGGCGCGCGCCGGCGGTCCTCCGCCGCTCCGGGTACCTGAGGGACGCGCGGCTGCCCTCGGCTGGCGGTGCAGCCCCCACCGCTTTGGAGCCAGACGCCGGGGTCTTAGGTGAGCCCCCCGAAGCGTGTGGGCCCCTGGGCCGGGGCAGCGGGAGAGGGAGCGGCGAGTGTGGAGCCCGCGGACGCGCCGCGCGGCTGCCTGCTGCTCCGCCTCAGCCCGCGCCGAGGAGCCAGCAGCAGCCCGGCGCCTCCTCCTTAGGGATCGTTCCTCTCGTCGCGGCCACAACAAAAGCCTTGGGCACCGGGCTGTGGCGGGCGGCGGAGCGGGGGCCTGGGCCCGCGGTGGCAGCAGGGGGCCTCGGGGACGCCTAGTTTGGGGCTGAGGGCTGACGGGGGAGCTGCCCCTGGAGACGGTTAACCCTGTCCGCCCTGAGCCCGCGCTCGGCAACCTGTGCGAGTGTGGACCGCGGTTCTCTCGCCTCCATCCCGGCCCAGACCCTGCGCGGCTGGGAGAGGGGCCTGGCCGGAGCCGGCGGCAGCGCGGGGCGCCGGGGGGCGTGGGCGGAGGACAATGCGCCGGTGGCTCCCTGCAGCCCGAAGCGCGCGCCGCCAGGCTCCCGGCCCCGGCTCAGGTCAGCTTCGGGCCCACCTTTGCCTGCCCACGCCTGAAAGTTTCCCCGCCAGTCCGTCAGTTTGCAAAATCCTTGCTCCCTTCCGCGAGCTTCCCCCGGCTGCCTCCTCCGCGGGCTGTGGGTTTGCCGTAGGGTGGCCACTGCTGGATGCCCGAGGGTCCGCATCTGAAATCAAGCTGTTGTGAAATAGCCTGCAAGGTTAAGGAGCCTTATGTTCTTTTAAGACATGTAAACATTTTCCTAGAGGTGTTTTACATCCTAGGAGTCTTGAGTTCGATCCCTCTGTTGTAAGATAAGCCAAGGGGGCTTTTCTTGGCTTTGTTTTTAAGAACAAAAGCACGTGCCATGAATTGAGGCAGAGGAGTAGACTTCAGATTTAGAGAGATCGGCCCCATGAAGGAGGTTCGGCGGTTTGCACAGTGTAGAATGACTCTTTGAATTTTGGTCCCCGTCTGGATTGAGGGAGATGCAGCGGCAGTACAGAAGAGCAGCCACATCAGTGACTTCTATGGGAAAGTGTTCAGACACAGCTTCATCTTAGAGAAGTAATTCTGATAGGGAATGCTTATTAATGGGTATTGAGTTACTTTGTAAAGCCAGTATGATATGAACAAGGAAACAAAGACCTGACTACCCCTGGGGATGTTACCTCCTTCCCTCATCCTCCTTTAGTCCTTGGTGGTGTGCTGGTGCCGTTCCTGCATTTTAGTCTGGAAAAGGAATAGAAATCCTTAGTTCTATTATTAAGAAGTGGTTACTCCTGAAGATAATGCTTTCCGTCTTTACTATTAAACAAATCAATACTATCTTTTTCCTCCAGAAAAAAAGAAAACCCACAAAGATTAAAAAAAAAAATCAGAGTCGGAGAGCCTAGGAAAGAGGTGTAAGAGCTTGACTGGGCGGGGCTGGAAGGATAGAGCTGAAGATAAAGTATAACTAAGAGGCAGCCCTTCTACTATACCCCCGTCCCACCCCATTGTTTGAAACTGTTAGGAAAATAAATAAATTACGGGTAAAGCCTATCATTCTGCCCTCTCTTTCCTCCTATCCTTTTTCCCTCATCCACTACTAAAATTCTGTATCTCCATTTCTCCTAAATCTGTAAAAGCGTCCCATTTATAAAAGGAGAAGAAGGACAATGAGCCGTTTCCTCATCCTAGCTCCTCTATGCTTCTGAGCTTTATTTTGTGCTTTGAGCATTCAGGTGGATATTTCTTGGGAGTTCCGTGATTGAGATATTTGAAGTAGAGAGGGCTAAGGGAATTTAATAGCAAAGTGCACATTCTTTCTTTGTATAGAACAAAGTGAAAGCTTTATCACTGGGGAAGGAGAGAGGAGTTTTTTACTCACAATAAGTTGTCTGTTTCCCAGGAAACAAACTTAAATTTCATATTAGTTTGATAGTGAAACTCTAAGATTTTATATTAAAAACTTTTTCTGAGTATGTGAGTTTGTTGATGTTAAGCTGCTGTTGACTTTCTTTTCCTTCAGAGACAGATAGTAGGAAACAATTCGTACCACTTCTTTGAGCGGTTTTGGCCTGAAGTTTTTTTTTTTTTTTTTCCTATCCCCAGAATTCTAGAATTATGCATGATTAAAACTGCAGCTGTGCACAAAAATAAAAAGAATGATTTTGAAAATATGTACTGGATAAATTATTCAGCATAGATTGGAGGAAAATTTGTGGTAGTCTCGAGGAAAGAAATTAGATTTTCAGTAGTGATATTTCTATAATGCTAGGAACAAGTGAAGTGTAACAGCTTCTTACTGGCTAGGAAAGAGTTTTACCTACTATGTCAAAAAATCAATTTCCTCTTTTTGCTTTCCAGTTCATCATGTTGGGAACTATTGACAGTTCGGTATATTCAAGGAGTCTATTGCACATTAAGTTTGAGATGAATATAACTAGGCTAGTGGACCTGAAAACCAAATCCTGGTCCCCAGATTTTATCTCATTAAAATAATTCCGTAGTCAAAGCATGCAAACCATACAGCCTTGTTAAGGGGGATGGAAAGCAGGGACTTGGTATTAGAGAATTTTTTGATAGCAGATTTAAGAGAAGCTGGACTGAAATTTCAGCCCATTTTAAAGTCCAGAATCTATCTGTCTCTTAACTTTTCAGTTTTATTTTCAGGTCAATTTTTAAAGATCTTCTGTCTTCTTGTCTTCTTTAGTCTTAGTAATTAATAATTTCTAAATTGGACTGAACTTTGATGCCTACCATTCATTTAAATTTTGAACCTAGATGGATTTACTTTTCCTCTGTGTGCGTGTGTGTGTGTGTGTGTGTGTGTGTTTTAAGCCTTAATCACTTAACACATTGGAAGATTAAGTTATTTGTTGTAATCAGTAGATGATGACAAATGGACTTTAAACATTAGATGAAGTAGGAAAGTTCAGAAAAGAGATTCTCTGAGATTAGTAGGAATCTAGGTCCTGTGAATTAAATATGAAGCTATATAAACTTTCTTGTAGCAACCAGTAGGCAAAGGGCCAAAGACTACATAGACTTTAAGAAAAGGAAAGTACCATTTGAGCAATGAGTGTTCGCTGAGTGTATATTTTGTCTAACAAGACAATAATTTTCTTAAGAGAAGGAACTGTTATTTAGAGATAGTTATTGCTCATCCTTGCAATGTGTTCTTGAAAACGTGTCTGAAAAAAGACAAAGAATATTCCTCGTGTTCCCTCTGTAGGCACTGTGTAACCAGCATTTACTTCTTGAGACAACCTTTAGATGATCTTTCTCAAGTTGAAATGCAAAATGTTACCTGCATTTATCAGGTGTCAAGAAAATGAATTCTCAACAGAACAATGAAATGGAGCCCTATCTGTAGAGAAAGTGTAAATTGGAATAGAGTTGCTGAACATAATCTTTTGTTGCAGAACCCCTTTGACAAACCCTTAGGGCCCACTTCTCTCATCATCCTTTCTTCTGGGATTCAGTCTGCTTTCCTCTTCCCAGTTGCCACCTCCTGCATTTCCCACCGAGTTCTTTGGGTCTGATTTTGCAGCCAGCCTGGGAAGATGGTCTTCCAAGATTGGAATCCCTTCCCTTTATTGCTGTCTTTCAGGAGAAATACTTAGTTTATTTTATTTTAAAGACTTTTTGTCATCAAAAGAAACCTGATAAATAATGGTTGGGAAATAGAAATTCCTAATGTTGTACATTCATAAAAATAGAAATGTGTAAACTTTAAAGTATCTAGTCCTTTTTGTTTTCTGATGGAATGTTAACCAAGTAACTTAGTCTGAAATCAGCTTTCCAGATATTCTGTATTGCTCTGTGGAGAAGTGAATGTGTCTCTTTTCCCCTACAAAGGGCATGAGCAACTGTTGCATAGCATTCACTTTTTGCAGGGCCCTCACCCCTGAAGCTGCTCACTCCAATTATGTTAATCTAGTAGGTCCCCCCTTTGTTTTTCCAGTTGATATACTGCAGTTTCTTATAATAAAAAAAGAAGATAATATCAATAAGAACGCCCCAAACAACTAGTAACCTTTATTTAATGACTTGCTACGTTTGGATAGGATCTCTTTGGCCAGAATCTTTACTATGTCCTGCAAATCTGGAACTTCAACTTACAGCTTTTCCATGGATGACCCTACCTTAGGAAAAATGGCATGCTCACATGATTGTGATTAAAGCAGATAATTCATTATGTTGTTGAAGACATATTATTTGGACTGTTTATCAAAAGTTTTAATTTTTTATTTTATTTAATTTTTTTGAGACAGGGTCTCACTTTGTCACCCAGGCTGGAGTGCAGTAGTACAGTCTCTGCTCACTGCAACCTCCGCCTCCCACGTTGAAGCAATTCTCGAGCCCTTCCTGAGTAGCTGGGACTACAGGTGCAAGCCAGCTACTTTTTGTATTTTTAGTAGAGACAGGTTTTTGCCATGTTGGCCAGGCTGGTCTCAAACTCCTGGCCTCAAGTGATCGGCCCGCCTTCGTCTCCCAAAATGCTTGGATTACAGGCGTGAGCTGCTGTGCCCAGCCAGGAATGTTTATCAAAAGTTTTTATTTATTTATTTATTTATTTATTTTTTTTTGAGACGGGGTCTTGCTCTGTCACCCAGGCTGGAGTGCAGTGGCCGGATCTCAGCTCACTGCAAGCTCCGCCTC